TTTCGAACGTCTTCATCACGTCTCGTAGAGTGCTTGTGTCATTGGTCATCGGCGTGAGATCTTCAGCCGACGGAATGCTCTTACCGCAGCACAGAAGTTCTCGTCATTCTGGTAGAAAAGTTTCACTAACAGAGGTTTGTTTTCAAAGTCACCATTGTGCATCATCGAACTGGAAACAACTGCCTGTTCAAGGCCTGTCTTCCACTTTTGTAGGGCTCGTCTTTTGGATACGTTGCCCAGAAGTTTTATTTCTGCAAATCACGTTGCTGCAATATGCACATTACTATTGTTACAGCGCCACCTATCGCCAAATTCCTGTACTAATTTTTTTTGGTGTAATAAATCTTGAGCGCATGATCTGAAGTGTCAATTTTTAAAATTTCATCACATTATGACCCATACAACACTCTGAACAGGCCTTTGAGTTGGGGAAGTTTAATTTGGATAACTCTGTATGTGTATATCACATTAATACTGTTACGAAATGTAAAGGCGCGGTGACATGGCTTCCTCGCAAAACAGTTTTAGGGTTGCCATAAAATGCCAAAGGAAGGCAGGCAGTGTTGCCACAATTTGGCGAGAAATAGCCCATTTGGCGACATTCGGCGACAAAATTGGCGATATTCATGGACGGTTGGAGAACCTTCTGGAACGAAATTCTTAGCCGACTTTAGCACAGAATGTTCTCCGAACACAAGCCGAAAGCTATATAAACCCTGCTGGTCAGCAGTCGATGTGTCTCAGAGGGTATGCGTCTCTCATCCAGTGAGTGTGTCTCGTCTAGCGAGTCAATCCCTGCGGAGGCGATCGCGTTGACAGCCGGCCAAGCGAGTGCCGAGTGGGTCGTCGAGTGCACCGAAAGAGTCTCGTAGAGCATCGCGGTTAGTGCATCGTCGAGAGAGCATGTTGAGCTCCGGAAACGACTGAACCGACAGTCAGGAGCTGTGCTCTGTGTGTCGTCGAGAGCTATACGCTTGTTGTATCGATCGAGAGTCTCGAGAGTACGTGGAGTTCCGAGAACGACCAAGCAGAGTCGGGAGCTGTACTCCGGAAAGCAGAGTCGGGTGCTTTGCAGGAAGCTTGTCTCCACCATTATTGCCTCACAGTGTTAAGGCTGTGTCGCTGAACGCGTCAGCGTGTTTATAGTATATTTTCGAAGACTGTAAAAAGTGTTATTGGAGCTGTCCTGATTAAATTTGGCTAAATAAAGTGTGTTTCGATACTTCACCAAGTGTCGTCGTTATTCACTTCAAATCCACACGAACTTCGTACGAACTTGAAGGAAGAGATAAACGTAACAATATTATATAGCCAGGGTTTATTTTTTAATCTTTAGTAATATGTACTAATTATTCAATAATGTGCTCAACAAAGTGTACCAAAGAATGTACTACGTTTACATAAGAGTCCAAATAATGCACAATAATGTGCATACAGCATTAACTTAAATTACCAAGCGCGCGCACATTTTCAAACCTCCAGCGAAGTGTACCAAGTATTCAATCCAGTAACGTGTACTAAGGAATGTACTTATGCTTCCACAGGCATCCAATAACCAGGTGCACAACAAAGTATATACAGGACTATATTAAAAATATAAATTTAAGTCCACGGACAGGTATACGTATAAAATAAGGCTCCAAACGAATAGGTGTGTAAATAGCATAATTATAATTAAGCAAGTGTTCAAGTTCATATCCTCGGCAATGTGCACCAAACATTCAGCACTGTGTTCAGTAATATATAAAAATTATAATTAAGCTGTAGAGACATTAGAAATTTTTGGAAGCAGGCAACATGAAAAATTAGCAACCGCCTTCATCGAGAATCGAACCACGGACCTCTGAAATAAGCATTGTACTATGCATTCAGCAATGTGTTCAGTAATGTGTGCCAAGTTATGGAACTCATAAATAATAATGAGTAGCTTAATTTATGAGTAACTGAATGTAAATGAGTACCAATGTTCTATAAATGTAAATGTGTACCAATGTTCTATAAATGTAAATGTGTACCAATGTTTCAGTCCCAAGTAATGTGTACTAAGCATTCAGCAATGTGTTCAGTAATGTATAATAATTATAATTAAGCAAGTTTTTTACTTTCAAATCCTCAGTAATGTGTACTAAGCATTCAGCAAAGTGTTCAATAATGTGTGCTAAGTTATGGAACTAATAAATAATAATGTGCATCTTAAATTATGAGTAACTAAATGTAAATGTGTACCAATGTTTCAATCCCAAGTAATGTGCACTAAGCATTCAGCAATGTGTTCAATAACGTATAGTAATTATAATTAAGCAAGTGTTTATTTTCAAATCCTCAGTAATATGTACTAAGCATTCAGCAATGTGTACCTAAATGTACCGAGGTTGCTTTAGATAAGTGTGGACCAATTAACCAATATGGTAGAGCGATGGTGCCCACGTCCTCTGTCACTCACTCACTCACTCTAACGAAGTCAGTAGAACTTTGAATACTTGTTCTTCCTTCATTTGCATTTAACCGCGATTCTAAAAACACGTTCTGGCCGGAAATTGTAAGTTGAAATTACGAAGGGGCAGGAAAGTGCCTTAAACTAAACATTAACTGTATAAGGTATTTCTCCCACTTTCTTTGCGTCCCTTCGTGGTTTGGTGGTCTACACACTGGGCCGGTATTCCAGAGGTCCGCGGTTCGATTCCCGGCGAAGGCGTTGCTAATTTTTCATCTCGCCTGCTCCCAAAAATACCTAATGTCTCTACAGTGGCGTCCGAACTAAAAGGGTGTCGGATGATGATTCTCTTCACCCAGGATTTGGCGATTGGATCCCCTAAAAAAAATCCCAGTCGCCCTTTAAAAGGGGGAATATATAAGGTATTTCTCCCACCTTCTTTGCGTGCCTTCGTGGTGTGGTTTTCTGCACACCGGGCTGGTATTCCAGATGTCCGTGGTTCGATTCCCGGCGAAGGCGTTGTTAATTTTTCATCTTGCCTGCTTCCAAAAATACCTAATGTCTCTACAACCGTTAAAAACTTAGGATAAACCTTACAATTTAACATAATAATTGTCGGAAAAAATGAGGTTACAGGGGCCAAATCCATTTACCATTGACGTAATTTGAAGAGATAACGCCAACGAGATGGTTTCGGCGACCAATTTTTGTCGCCAAATTTGGCGAGATATATAATTTTCGTCCGATCTCTGTGTAACTGTAACTAGTCTAATTACTTTGTGTAACTGTACCAGACCGTATATAACTGTAACTGTGTATGCTTTCCAGCTATTTCGAGAAACTGAGGGTACTGGAAATTTCTTGGTGGATGGGGGAAAGCTGAAGAGACCTGAAAGAGCATCAGTTCTGAGTTTAGCTCAGGGTATTAAGAATACTGACAGATCGCTATGCGAACTTACATATTTCGTGGACTTTAAGAAACAGACCAACCCAAATGTGTTTTCTCCCTCGTCTGACGCATTCCCGACTATCTCTTTGACCACATCCGGAAGAATAGGGACGACTTGCAGAAACTTAACAATGGTTGGCTATTGCAGCATATATAATTGTCAAGAAAAAGCTAATTGTAACGCCTCATTTCACAAATTAAAATTTTTAGATATTTTAATTTTTAAAAAATTAGCATATTTATCAAGCATAATTAACGTTCCAAATACTTATAAAGTTCTCGCATGCTTTCAAGCCTGGATACGTTTTAGCTTTTCCTATGCTGTAACGAAATGTGTAACAACTTCTTCTAGAAACTAATATTTTAAATCTGAAATAATAGAAAATTTCAAACAAATAATCTTCGCTTACAATTTTAATCCTTTTTATTGGTGTAAATAAGTAAAAAATACTAAAATACCTAAAAATGAATTTTTGAAAGTTTTTGTTTAAAATTCTAAATTGTGCCGCTTTTTTAAAATTATAGATGAATATTATAGCATAATATCTATAAAGAGGTTTTATTTCAATTATATTTCATAATACATCATAGTGATAAACACTTTTAGCACCATAATAATATTTATGCATGTATTCTAATGTTAAATTGTATTTAACTGTAATAATTAATTGTGCTAGTATTTTACAGTAATTATTTTTTTTAATTTCATTTCTATTCTGCATAAGATATTTTTTATTTACTGTGAATTTGATTTATTAGCCCAAAGGGGCGGTAGCCCGGAAAGCCTATTAGTTTCGAAACGGTATTTTGCGCTGTTTCATTATAAATATCCGTTTCACTTTGCAAATTGTTACCTCCAAATATTATCGCCTTATATTACAGTTAGAAAAATTAAATAATGAAGAATCTGCATGAATACATGCATTTTTCTTGCACTGTGAAAAAACGACAATATCTAGAGCCATCAAATTTTGAATAACGTAATCCTCCACCCGAACATGGGCATCTGGACAACAGAATTTGGAATTTGTTTTAATCCATTTCATATTTTGTAAAACTTTAAAATCCTATCAGCACATTACAATTATTAATTTTATTACGTCAGGGTTATTTAATAATAATTCATTCTCTTGAATTCAAAAGGGAAAATTTAAAAAAAGGTTAATAAAATTAGTAATTTTCTCGAGAAATATTTTGCAGATAACCTTATATCCTTTGCTCAAACACCATATGTTTAATTTTTTCTCATGAAGTGATTTTCAGTTTTTCAGTTTTAAATTTATTTATCAAAACAAGTATATTTTATTCGTAGATAATTGTATAATAACATATATGAGAAATTAAATGCAGATTTACAGCATTAATATCATCTCAGTTTTTCAAAATTAAATTCCATTCGCATTTAAGAGTTATCAAAACTGTTATTTGGAAAAAAAAAAAAAAATTTCATTAAAAATCAAGATTGAAATACCTGATTTTTCTGAAACATTTCTTTCAGTAAATTTTATTTATTAATCTATGTAAAAACAGCATCTTTTCTAGAGAAAGTGAACTTCTTGAGGCGAGGTATAAAATGATTTCCGTTTAGTGACGTAAAGATAATTTTCTGAGACTTACATTTCGCCATATACAGCAGAAAGCTTGATGATAAAGCCATCGAAGGAACTGTAATATAATGATGATGTAGCTGATGATGTTTAAAGGCGCCGGCAATCGAAGACGATTTGAAAAATCGACTACCAGGTGATATCTTTGGAATTTCCAAATGCCGTCACTTTCAGCTGCAAGTTTTGAAGCTGTTGCACTGTTAAGAAAGGTTTTAAGTTATTAATTGTTTTCCAGCTAATTAAATTATTAAAACATAAATGCGATATTTTTAAACATAATATTAAAAAGTATATATCACATACTATTCACATTTAAATATTTTCAATCATTATTAGCCCAAAGGCCGTTAGCCCAAAAGGACTATTAATTTCGTTTTGGCATTTTGTGGCGTTTCATTGTAAACGGCGTATCACTTTTCAAATTGTTGCAACCAAATATTATGGTCTTGTATAATATTTAAAGAAATTAAATAATGAAGAATCTGCATAAATGCATGTATATTTTTCGGATTGTGATAAAGTAAGATTTTAATTAGATTTTGAATAACGTACGTCTCCACCCGAATACGGGCATCTGGAAACCCGAACTTGGAATTTGTTTTATTATCTGTTTCATAGTTTGTAAAGCATTTATGAGGTTTTGATTAAAAAAATTCAACGATTTCAAAGCGAGCAATGGCAACACTGTACGGAGCGCTCGATACTGTGTATCGGAAATTGTAAAGATACGCTCTTTTTAAATTATTTTGCGATATTACTGTTGAATTGAATTTTATGGTTTGAGTACGTATAACATGATATTTAATAAATAAAGATAACAGACCAAGCGTTAAAAAAAGGCCTTTTAGACGTAATATAAAGTCTGGAAAATGTTCAGATTTTTCTTAAAAATTTAAACTTCATCTAAACTGGGAATTTTGGACTCTCATGTTTTAAGATCTGTTAGGCATAAATACAATACTGAATTAGTGCCATAAAAAGTTTTTTGTTTTCTTAGCATGTAAACCAACAGCTATCTGAAGGGTAGATTGAAGTAGAAGTTAAACAACATGGGCATATTATAAACCAATGGTAAACGTGTCAACTTCGTTTGGGTGGAGAATACAGATTCTTCCGTATGATCCACTTTGAAATTAAAATTTGTCTTGATAGCAAAGATTTGTGCGTCTGAATATAATTCAGACTGCCCTTAAATATGAAATCTGATGAACTTCATTTATCGTTCTCAAACTTCTTTTGAACTTGACAGTAAAAATGTTTTCTGAGAACACCAAAACTTACTCGGAATAATAGTAAAATGATTAAAAGCAATAAAATTAAGATCAATGCTCTAATATTTTATATCTCTACAGCTCACTCGATCAATAAAAATTACTTACATTATTAATATACGGAAGTTAAGACACGTATCTCCAGTTCAAAATTATGTATGATAGCGAACTTCAGGAAAATTAGCCTTTAAATAATCACGAAGCTGTTATTTGACAATAAGAAATGTTCAGTGAATTATGAGTCAGACCTCTGACTCAACTAAACATTAACACGTTGAAGCGTCAAGCGTATTTCTTAGGCAATCCCGTTCAGGCCACGCGCGCCGCTTAAAAGCGCTGGCATTGTAGGGCCAGAGATTCTTATCGCAGTAGAAGATAGTTTACGTTTGGAACGTGATTCGTATAGGCATTCATTCATCACGTTACGCTCCAAGTCTGTTTTGTAAATAGTTACATTCTATGCAAAGATATTAGGAAGCAAAAAATTAGCATTACTGAAGTCCGGAAAGAATTTAGCGCTATCCCTCACAAGTTGTGAAAAAGAAGATATTCCATCGAACAGAATGCAAGAATATCTAAACAAACTACAGCATAGACTCCAAAGAAAACGGGAAAAAAGCCTCTGGAGTGTGGAAATATTGTAAATTATGTTATGATAAAAATGCAACTGAAGCTGGTAGAGAGGCCAGAAAAAAGACTAAGGCAGTTGTCACAATTTGTAATAGCTGTAATGGAGAAACGTTTTTATACTTACCGTGTTTCAATGAAATCCATTAGTCCTGTAATGAATCAAAATTAAGTAAATTTTAAATAAATTTTCTGTAATTCCATTAAACAGTGTAAATTGTATAGTTATATATCATGTTACACGTTGTCAGCCAGCGGCGTTCGACGCGGCCTAAACGGAAAGTCTAGTGTCAGCCACAGATGGCTGACGCGGCCTAAACGGAAAGTCTAGTGTCAGCCACAGATGGCTGACGCGGCCTAAACGGAAAGTCTAGTGTCAGCCACAGATGGCTGACGCGGCCTAAACGGAAAGTCTAGTGTCAGCCACGATGGCTGACGCGGCAAACGTGTCAGCCACAGATGGCTGACGCGGCCTAAACGGAAGTCTAGTGTCAGCCACAGATGACTGACGGGCCTAAACGGAAAGTCTATAGTGTCAGCCATAGATGGCGCGGCCCTAAACGGAAAGTCGCAGCCACAGATGGCCGCGGCCTAAACGGAAAGTGTAGTCTCAGCCACAGATGGCTGACGGGGCCTAAACGGAAAGTCTAGTGTCAGCCACAGATGGCTGACGCGGCCTAAACGGAAAGTCTAGTGTCAGCCACAGATGGCTGACGCGGCCTAAACGGAAAGTCTAGTGTCAGCCACAGATGGCTGATGAGGCCTCTCAAAGTGTTAAATATGTAAATCTGTTTGTTAACAAAAGAAATGCATTATAACAATATTACTTATGTGTGAAAGGTAAATCGAACGACTGAGTATATTCAATATTGCCAAAGTTTTGCATATCGAAGAAAGCATGGCCATCTTTAAATCCAATACGTCCAACATATAATAAATAACCAATACTCAAAAGAAATTTATCGAAATTCAGATGTATGAGCTCTTAATACACACAATAATTTGTATTTCTCAGCGTCACCTTCAGCTTTTAGGCAGGCTATGCTTAAGTAAATTGTAAGGGAACTTTAAATGAGTGAATAACACAAGTGGCACTTATGAATGTGAGAAGCAAATATGTGAACAGCACATATGAGATACATCAATATATCCAATTGATATTGTTCAGTATAAAATGCATCTGAATAACTTCTTATATCCAAGTTACCATTGATTTCTAAAGTAAAAATTTTGCTTAAACTCAGAATCATAATACATAAAATATTGCTAAAATCCACATTCAGTACAGTCAAATTCTTGACATTGTCTCTTTAATAACCACAGATCACATATACCCATCTTTCGAAGTAACTTAAAATTCCACTACAAATTTTAATGTTCCATAGAAATTTTTAGCTGGGCCTAGCGACAACAGAATGCTCCACCAATTGAGTACAGATGCTGATAGTCGTATAACAGGTGGTGCAGCAACTCAGCTGGTAGTAAGTAAGTAAGTCTGAAGGAAGACAAAAAGTATTCGAGAATGGGATCATAGGTCAAAAACGTTCTAAAGTAACTCATATTGTTTCTGAGTTTTATAATTTCTGCATATACACTGCTCAAAACAATTAAAGGATATTGCGGTTTTAGGTGGATCTTGTGGCTTGGAAAAGTTTTAGCTGATTGATACATGGTCGACAGACCTAGTAGGTTATATGAGAATAAATTACACATGTTTGGCAGAAAAAAATGCATTTTATTGCGCATTTGTGTACAAAAGGAAAAAAGCACAATTTGTGCATATGAGAAAAAAAGAATAAGAAAAGGTGTTTCTTTCAAAGGAAATTATTTACAGTAGGGGGTATGGTTTCCACGGACGGCCAGCAACGTTGAACACCTTTGAGGCATGGAGTCAATGAGGCTATTAATCACGAGGTGGTGTATTCTGTCCCACTCTTCCAGAAGAGCCCTTTCCAGTTCTTGGAAAGTTTGTAGGGGTGGTTGGCGGCCAGCAACTCGTCTTCCTAGAGCGTCCCATACGTTCTCTATTGGATTCATGTCTGGAGAACACGCTGGCCATTCCATTCGTACGATTCCTTCCTCGAAAAGGAAATCCTTCACTAGGTTAGCACGATGTGGCCTGCAGTTATCGTCCATTAAAATGAAGTCATCTCCGAGTGCTGCAGCGTAAGGGACTACAATAGGTCTGAGGATCTCATCCCTTTATCGGCGAACAGTCAGAGGTCCATCTGGAATGATGTAGAGGTCTGTGCGCCCGTTAATGGAGATGCCAACATACACCAACACTCCCCCACCGCCAAATCTGACACTTTCGTGCACGAACGCAGGATTATTCCTACTGCCACGGTCCCTCCAGATGAAAATACGCCTATTATCAGGATGAACAGAAAAACGGGACTCGTCAGAAAAAATACCATTGCTCCATTCATTTCTCCTCCAGTTCACATGCTCTGTTACCCACTCCCTGAGGTCGCGACGATTCCTTGATGTTAGTCTAACACATACCATCGGTCGGCGAGCATACAGACCTACACCATGGAGTCGGTTTCGGACAGTCTGAGGTGAAACCGTGTTGCCAGTAGCCGAGCAAGGGTGTTGTTGGAGAAGTGTTGCATTCATATTTCGGTGTCTCCGAGTCGTTAACATTAAATAACGATCTTCATTGGGCGTTGTTTCCCGTCTACTACCTTGCCCTGGTCTTCGGCCTGCACTTCCAGTTTCCAAAAAACGGTTCCAGATCCTGGAAATCACACTTTGTGACACTCCAATGACTTGCGCTACTTCGGATTGAGTTTGGCCCCTTTCTAACCTACCAACAACTCTTCAAGCATCTAAATCGGTTAAATGACTTCGCTGAGACATCGTACTCATCGAAACAAAGCAGTCACTGGATGCCTATCATCCTTGTCTTCATTGTCTTTTGTTCACTTGAAAGTCAAATTTCATTCGCTGCCGCTGAAGCGACGTTTTTGACGTGGAACTCAAAATCAGCATACTCCACAGTTTGAAAATCAGAAAAATTTGCATTTGTGATTCTCTTCTTGCATTTTCGGCAAAAAACAATTCGCTTATATCTTTATTTTATATAAAACTTACAATATCCTTGTATTGTTTTGAGCAGTGTATATTGCAAGTTATTTGTATGCAACAAGAGTTGTGGTACCTAAATGTAAATGATTCAATCATCGTTAAATCTGTATAGGAGTTATCACTGTAGAATTCGTTATCAACGATAAACTAGCCAATAAAAAAAGAACACTGCCTCCAAACGTTTCAAGACCACAAAGCATGTACTATATGACGACCTTATTAGATAAGTTGCATATTTTATGCTTAGTATGTAATTTATCTCTTAAATCGAATTTCTTGAACATCTGGGAAGAAATCATTTCTTCCTTAGAAAGAAGGAATCTTTCTTTTTTAGAAATTTCTATGGAATCTTTTCTTTCCTTAGAAATGTGATTGCGGCATAATTTACTCTAGTCATAGGTCATAACTGACTGATATCGGTTTGTTGGTGTCGCGTTCTTTCAGAAGTCAAATGGATTCATGAGTGGAAATTACAGATTTTGCCAGTTCCACAATCTTTTCACTATACAGCCTCTCCCTGGAAAGCATACACCCCCAAGCTTAGTAGATCTGCAAGAATTGCTGGACAGGTGAAGATGTGTTCTGAAGATCCTGGGCAATTTTTACGAGTTCTCTATGATCTGGTACCATCTTCATTAATTTTTATTCCTCTAAAATGACGGTTACAGCCGAAAACATCGCGGACGAAATCGTCGCGGAGAAAACAACGCAAGGCGAAAACGTGGTGGGGAAACATCGTGGGAGAAAACATCGCAAAGAGAAAACATCGCAGTTCTAAAACATCGTGGTACAAAACATCGTCGTCGAAAATAAAGCGGTTCAAAAACTTCGCAGTTTAATAACATCGCCGTCGAAAATATCGTGGTAAAAAATAAAGTATCTACAAATCATCGCATGACGATAACATCGCAGACATGCTTTTTTCAGGCTTTAATAACTGTAAATGGATATTCCCATAATGATTTGTGAGCGCAAATGATGTAAGGAAGGATAATTTTTACTTTCACATTTTTTTATTAACTAATAAATTTTTGCTGAAAAAATAAGAAGGAAACTTAAGCATAGAAAATTAAATGCAACTTAATAGATTATACTTTTCATGAAAAATTACCTGTAAAATCTTTATAAAAATGATTTATTAATGGACCTTTGTTAGTTAACTATGTCGATTTAAAATTCTATTAAGTGCTATAAGTTGCATTAATTTTCTATGCTTAAGTTTCTTTCTTATTTTCTCAGCAAAAATTTAATATTTAATAAAAAAAATATGAAAGTAAAAATTATCCTTCTTTACCATCTTGCGCTCACAAATCATTATGGGAATATCCATTTAAAGTTATTAAAGCCTGAAAAAAGCATGCGATGTTATCGTCATGCGATGATTTGTAGATACTTTATTTTTTACCACGAAATTTTCGACGACGATGTTTTTAAACTGCGAAGTTTTTGGACCGCTTTATTTTCGACAACGATGTTTTGTACCACGATGTTTTAGGACTGCGATGTTTTCTCTTTGCGATGTTTTCTCCCACGATGTTTCGTAGCACGACGTTTTCGCCTTGCGTTGTTTCCTCTGCGATGTTTTTGCCGCGATGTTATCGGCGGACACCAAAATGACGGGTTCTTAGCCTAGTAATTGTCTTGGCCATTTCTCTGTTTGCATCAATCTCACATATCTGATAGTCTTTCTTAATAGATTTCTCTTTGAGTCTATATCTGGCAATGGCATTAGCATCTTCAAGAGTGACGGGGATTGAGTTGTTGAGATTTCTTCCTTTTTAGCCGGTTCATTGGCTGCCTCGTTTCCATAGATTCCAACATGTGCAGCGACAATTATCAAAATTTTCCTCCAAAATTCTCCCCCACTAACAGTCATCTCGGCGTACCTGCCTTCACTATCAACTGCACGTGGAAGAAGTACTTTTCCTGTCAGTGATTTTGATAAACATTTATCATTATCAAATCACCTAATATTGCTGGTGACCTAAATTCACGTCATACCGCATGGTTTTGCCCTAACAAGAACAGGTATAGGCATTAGTCTTAAATTCATAGGTGCCAGAGAAACCATATACAGATCATAGCTTCTACCCTTCCGACTTACTATCCTGTTAGAGGGTCCTCTGCAGTTCTTGATCTGGCTGCCTTTCATAATGTCAATTTTAGACACGAAATAAAAGTGATTCAAGACCTTGACTTCTTGATTCTTGACCTTAACTATCCAGTTTTGATCACCCTAGATATCCAAAATCGTTAGTCAAAATTACAGGAGCAAGTCTCTACAAATTGGGACGACTTTAGATTTATTTTGGAACGTACTGCTACCCCCGCCCCTATCAAAATTACCAGCAATTCGGATTTTGACAGGTGTTTACTAAATTTGGAGTCCATTCTCAAAGAAGCGAGAGCTGCGGCTTGAAAACCAATTTTCTATCCGGGTGTCAGACTCCCACACGTATCCATTGTATAATGCATGTCTTTACCGTCTGGTTGATTGTTTCTAGGTGTTGGCGTACATCCTGGGTAAGACTTGAATGTCCTCTCAGTATTGCCTCTAGGGCAATATTAGAGTCACAGTAAATTACAAGTTCTCTGGCTTATCATTATCAGATGTAAATTCTCAGGGTCTTCTGTATTGCTCTTAATTCACATGTGAAGTTGGAAGCGATGTTGCCTGCTCCATGGCTTTGGACTATGGTTGCCTTATTTGGTAAAGTAATGTCTTTGGGTAGAGTATATCGGTTTGTAAAGTTATGAATAGCTCCAGAGGTCGTATCTGTTAGGATGAAGTACCGAAGAACCTTCTTTCTTAATCAGCTGTTACCGAAAACATTCTCTGTAGCCAATATGGAGAAACGAGACCTTCTGGCTTCTCAGAGATTTAATTATTATTACATAAATTTTAATTATTAAATATTAATTTAAAAAATTTTATTCATTTTTTATAAATATTTTATCTTGAATAAGAGAGAGATTTATCTTGAATAAGATATGTATGTAAATAAGATATGTATGATCTCTTATGTAAGATATATTAAGATTTTATCTTAAATAAGATATCTTACATAAGAGATAAAATATACGCATCATTCGTTTCTTTGCTTTTTTCGTACTTTATCTGCATCGTCATATTTAGACTAATGATTTTTTCTCTTTTTTGGGGGGTGGGGTCGGGTGAGGTGGGGAGTGCTGCAATAGAAATATAAAAATGCGTGTAAATCATTGCCTTCAATTTATTTATTCCAGAAAAACCATTTTTCGTATTCCTAAGCTTCGTTTAAATTTCATTAATTGTCTTATTTGATTTTGTAAAACAAATAACATTAAACTACTTTGTATGGCAATAGTTTTCCTACTGCATACTGGATTTCGGATAAATAAAATATTTGATAATGTGTATAATCAAAGTATTCCTAAAAAAGTTATTAGCCCAAAGGACGTTAGCCCAAAAGGGTTATTAATTTCGTTTTGGCATTTTGCGTCGAAAACTTTAAAAGTCTGAACCACTTTTCAAATTGTGGCCGCTGAATATTAGAGCCCTGTATTATAGTTAAAGAAATTAAATAATGAATGTATGTATGTTTCTCGTATTGTGATAAAACAATGGTACCTAGAGCCATCCAGTTTTGAATAGCGTACGTCTCAACCCGTGGAATTTGGAATTTGTTTTATTATCTATTCCATATTTTGTAACGCATTTATGAGTTTTTCATTAAGAAAATGAACGATTTCAAAGCGGGCAGCGGCAACACTGTACGGGAGGTGAAAATAATTTATCTCCAGCGCGAGACTGTGTATGGGAACTCTTAAAGATATGCTCTTTTTAACTGCTTTTGCGATATTGCTGTTGAATTGAATTTTATGGTTTAGGTGCGAAGAACATGATATTTAATAAATAATGGTAACACACAAAGCATTTAAAAAAACGCCCCTTTAAGCGTAATGTAAAATCTGAAAGCTTTCAATTTATTATTACTTATTTTATTTTGTTGTTTTTTAATGAATGAAAAAAAATAATGTAATTAAACCTTTTACCTGAAGAGTGCGTACAGAAGAGTTAACAGAATCAGTTTCAGCAATACAAAATACTGAATGTTAAAGAGATAAGCCCACAAGGCGACATTGGGACATTTCTCGTCCTTATCTACAAGAAAAAAAAATATTTTCAAAATATAAGCAGTTAATAAATGAACTAAAAATTCTGTTTGCAAAGAAATTTTCAAATAAAATTTACATTATTTATTTTACATTATTAATTACATTATTTATTTCAAATTAATTTACATTATTGTATGAACCCAGTATAGAAGTTTTCAGGATGGTCGCGAAACAGTCGAAGACGACGCGTACATCGGAGGGCTGCATTTCGAACGCACCCTAGAAACAATTGTGAGCTTGTGGCTTCGGCTCGCCGATTAACTATGAGGTACTTGCTAATGACATGAACGTTTCCAAGGAGGTGAGTTGGCAAATTTTGAAACAAGAGCTAAGGAAACGAAAAGTTTATTCCAGATTCATTTCTCACTGTGTTATCGGAGGGGTCGCTGCTTTATCGGATTGGCACAGACTGCCCCTTTCACCATCGATGGGGGAATAGCTGCATATATTTTGCACTTCGTAATCAGTTACTGAATCTCGATGCTTCGTTTACGTTTTATGCGAATTTATAGCAAGGTTTTAAGGTATTTCTCCCACCTTCTTGGCATGCCTTCGTGGTGAGGTAGTCTGCACGCTCAGCGCGTAATTGAGAGGTCCGTGGTTCGATTCCAGGCGAAGGCGTTGCATATTTTTCATCTTGCCTGCTTCCAAAAACAAAATTGCTAATGTCTCTACAAGGTTGTATATAGAAAGTCTTCCAGTAGGGTAAAGGGCCTTTAAAGTAAAAGGTACTTTAAAGTACTTTAAAGTAAAAGGGCCTACCTTCAGACTTAATAGTTTTCTTGTTATATACGAGACTGGACGCAATGGGAATAAATCTTTATGATACAGTGAATCGTTTCCATTATTCGAATTAATTCATCGCGAGACCTTTATATAAGTCTTAGTAAACAGAAGTTGGCACACATTGCTTGATACAATGATCAAAGTATTGATATGCTTAGTTGAGTTCTCTTGTTAATAAAAAACAGCAGTTATTTCATTATTTTTTAGACTTATTACAAACAACAGTTGTAATAAGTCTAAAAAATAATGAAAATTAATATATATATGTATCGTTGTCTGAGCAGTAGTAATGCCTGATTATATAATAGATATTAGAATCTGGTGATTATATATGTACGATTTGAAATAATAATTACGTATGGTAGAGAGCGTGAGGAAAAGAATCATTGAATTTTATTTATTTATGACCTTCGTAATCGATAAACAACGCCCACTTGCTTATCGATGATGCACATCTGTCTATCGATGCTGAAGCACAGTCTGGGCCATCCGAAAAAGCGGCGAACTATCGGATGAATAAATGCAATTCAGAATGGACTCGTGCGATTGAACTCATCGACAACGCAGACGCTGCCCCCCTGCGTTCTCCGATTCGATACGTAACGGAGAAGAATCTTGGTGTTACCAATGTGACCCTGAAAGCAAACGACAGAGCTCCGAATGAGGGTCTTCAAACCCATCAAACTCGAAAATACAAGGTGTTTAAGTCCAGGACCCATTCTGATGTTTAATAACTCATAAAATAATAAAGAGAGATTAAAATTAATAACATAAATGGTTAGATAGACTCAAAAAGTTTCATGACCCTTGTCAATGAACTTCCACGTGGGCACCCCTCGTCGCACGGAGAATATCAAGTCGATATTCAATTTCACGCCAGGTACCGGCAAGCATGTCGGCATCCACAGAGGCTACTGCGGTTGTCATTCTGGCTTTTAGGTCATCAATATTAGACTCTCTCCTCCTGTAAACGTTGTCCTTTACAAATCCCCAAAGGAAAAAAGTCCAGCGGCGTTATATCAGGTGATCTGGGTGGGCAAGGAATTGGACTTCCTCGCCCAATCCATCTTCCTGTAAAAGGGTCATTCAAAGAACTACGAACGATGGTACCCCAATGAAGTGGTGCACCATCTTGTTGCAAAACATGTGGCTGAAGCTCTTCTAGTTGTGGAAATACGAAGTTTTCCATCATGTCTAAGTATACGACTGATGAGATCGTCTTTTCTGTAAAAAAGAAAGGCCAAATGACTCTGTCGTGCATTAATCCACACCACACATTAACACTTGGGGAATCCCTTTGTGCTCACGGTATACATGGGGGTTTTCAGATCCCCATATGCGCACATTATGGCGATTAACAATGCCAGAAATAGAGATAGAAACGAAAGAGAGAAAAATGCAATTAATAAGCAGACGATATTTAGAAAAGTACAGATATTTAGACTGGAAAATGAAATTATCTGAAACGACACGCGCAGACGATATTTACAAAAGTAAAGATATTCAAACCTGAAAAGGAAAATATATAAGTTATTCCATCAATTAAATGCCATAAGTTTGTTTATATATTCATTATTTTATGAGTTATTAAACATCAAATTGGGTCCGGGACGTTATAAACACCCTGTATTTCGATTTAAAAAGTCCAAATCTAAGATAATGTCAGTCGTTTTCTTCTTTAGCTAAGGACTAATTTCACAGGACTGTCATTGGAAAATTTTTCTCAGAAGTTCTTGCCAGACTTCGACAAAACTTTCGCAGAGTGAGAGTCCGTATTCAACAGAATGAGAATTTGCTGCATTTGCATGACAATGACCAATCTCACACTGAATTACCTGTGAAGCGCGTTCTGGCACAGCATCAAGTCGTGAACATGCAGGAACCTCCATACTCTCCAGACTTGACACATTTTTCTTGTTCCGAAACTGAAAAAATTACCAAAGGGAAATTTGAGAATGTAGAAGCCATCAAGTAAAAGCTGACGTCCACATTAAAGAGCATTCTGAAGGAGGACATACGGCTTCACGCATACATCGGACATACGATACATGCACCGGACATACGGCACATATACGGACATACGACTTTGCCCCTTCAAAACATACAGTAGAGCACAAAAGTGCATTCTGTGAGGTGGGATTACTTCAGTAAGTATTAAATGGGTATGTATATCGTATGGTATTTTGTGGAGTTATTAGATCAGTCCTGGAAATTAATGGCCGCACCTTGTACTATATACGCACAAAACCTTCTCTTTCATTCCCAGAAGCCTCATAAAGCTATCTATTGTATGATAAATCACACACAGAAATTATTTTTTGTTTCCTGATTTTCAAATTTTTAATTAACGATTAGGAGAAAAGGGAAATACTTTTAACCATTCCATCATCGTAATGTGAACTTTGCTTAGAAAATAATTATTTGGGACATCCGAATGAATGTTGGAACACAGTTTCAGAGATTATTAATTTGGTCTTTTTGAAAAGGTTTCTAATAAGAGTTGAAATTTTATTGGAGATTTAAATTTACTCACATTCACCAGCTCTGCAAAATGTGCTATTGTAGCTCTTTTCAGACCATTTCACACACTTTATATCCCCTGTAAAAAAAACGTATATTAAACTAATATTGATCGACAATACATATAGTTTTCAATTTATAATATTGATCGACAATACATATAGTTTTCAATTTATAATATTGATCGACAATACATATAGTTTTCAATTTATAAAAGTCGCCTTACAATAAAAAGTTCTCTTATACTTACTTTACATAAAATAATTCCGAATAATTTATCTAACCATTTTTTCATAAATAAACTTAGTTCTTTAAAGATATATTCTTAAAACGGATTAACGAGATTTTTATTAACTCTCTGCTTCAAGGACTAAATAAAGCACTTCGAGAAATAGCAATCGCTAGAAGTATGCTGATTATCAAAATTATAACTTAAATCAATGGTCTTATTGCAGAAATAGGAAATTATGTGGAATTGAAATCAATGTAGGGTAAGGTTGCTATCGATGGGCCGGCTCGTTCGTTGAGCCACCCCTATTATTTTCTGGTTATTGTCAGCAGGTGCTACCAGTTGAGTGTTTAGTAAACTACACGAAGCTTGAAAATCAACTACTTGATAGGGAGTTGATCCACGCTCAAACAAATACAGTAAGACCCCGCTTAACGCTGTTTCGTTTAGCGCTGTTTCGGTTTAGCGCTCTTTTATTTCAACCCGGGGATTGATTCCACGAAATCGCTCGCAGCATACGGGGATTCCCCGAAATATTATGCAGCGATAAGTCTCAAATACATATCCGAAAGAGTGTACTTGTATTTCTTGTTTGGTGCGGTATTGTACAGACATATTTGAAGGGGTAAATGTGGAAGATGTCGAAGAAAATAATTCAAGAAGCAGCGCTAGTCTTTCTAATGATGAGCTCAAGGAATTAACTGAACAAGAAGAAAACAAAATGTTGACAGCAGTGATTCAGAAGAAGAGCAAAAAGAACTTTCGATGGCGTTTGTAAAAAGGAGTTTGTCTACCATAACTGAAATAATGGATCAATTCATTGAAAATGATCCGAATTTTGACAGGAGCTCAAGTAAGGCGTGGTGTTAGAGATGCTCTAGATCCGTTTATGAAGAACTTTAAGAGAACAACGCAAAAGAAAAAGGCAAACAACATTAGATGCTTTTGTCACAAAAAGGCAGAACACTGAAACGCGGAGGCTAACTAAATATGACTGACTGAGAATTTTATTTGTTTTTTTAAGAATATTCGTTTGTTATTTATATTTTGTTTTATTTTGCAAGAAATAATAATGTGGTATTAATTGGGCTTTAAGAATAAATGTTTGGTTTTATTTTATTAAAAAACATTCTTTTAAATTAATACCTAACCAATTCTTAGCCATCTTCCCCTAACCCCAATATTTACATGTAAAGATAGCCTCGTTAGCGCTGTTTCGCATTACGCTCTACTTTGATGGAACGTATCCCCCGCGTTAGCGGGTCTTACTGTCTATCTAATTTCCTTACAAAACCGTAAAGCACCAAACAAATAAGTGGGCGATTCTGCACTTTAGCAGCGAAATTGTTTCTAAGTGCTTATTAGCTAAAATCATGATCGGAATTTTCCGGAAAATGTCACATGACATGTCTCATGATCTCTCATTTCTCTGAGACAAAATAATCTGTGATTCGAACTGTGTACTTCTCAGATTATTATCCTAGTAACCTTTATCACCTTACCAAAATGTCGCCAAACTACCTGTTACCATATTCCAAAGATTAGCCCATTTCACATTTACGAATCAAGCTGAAAATAGTTTTAAACATTTTATTGACTTGTATTAAAATGATAGATAATACTGTATTAAAAAGGCAAATTCATAGAAACTTCCCGACTCAGTGAAGGTGATCGCTTTGCTTCATTGGGCCAGTGGCACGCACCTATTCGTATTTTTTTATTGTAATAGTTACTGAATATTTCAAAATTATAATGCTATCTCTAGATATGTATTTTTTTATTGTAATAGTTACTGAATATTTCAAAAGTATAATGCCTATTCCTAGATATGTGTATTTTTTTATTGTAATAGTTACTGAATATTTCAAAAGTATAATGCCTATTCCTAGATATGTGTATTATGGAAAGTAATATTTACACTAACGTGCACAAAACTGTAAAATTACCGAATTTGACGATTTTGTAAAAGTGGCCCATCGATAACAACCTTTCCCTAAAAAGAAAAGGAATCATATTTAAAATCCATTCTTTCGTTCTGTGTAGTACCAGTTTCGAAATCACTCTCAGTAGTATTTAAGAGATGACACATCGCAGTAAAATAATCAACTTTCTAAAATTTAATATATAGTTTTTTTTTTTTTTTTAAATTTTCATATGATCAGGAATAACATTAGCTTTAATTAAAAGCATTTTAAGGCAAACATGTTTGTTCTCACATAGGGTAAAGCGAATTAAGTCTAAATTGAATTATTATTAAACGTGTTCTTAAATCTGAGAAACATATCAAAAATAGAATGAATTGTTATATATATGGTAGGTACTTTATCTCGAAAGCATAAGTTTGTAAAAAAAAGTGTTCGAGATCTGAATTTAAAAACTGAAATAATTTTAAAAAGATGAAGCTACTCTTTAAAAAAAGAAGATTATCTCGAAAAGAAATATTTTTCTCTTTTTTGTACTCCTATAATTAATTCCTTACCTTAAAAATATATATGCTATATAAGTTTGGACAGATTTCTTAAATAGACAGTTGCATTTTGTTTAAAGGTATCTTTTGATGTGCAACTTGTGGAGTTCCACTCTTTTTATCTAACGGCCAAATGTGGAGGAACCTAATGAACAGCTAAGCAAATAATCGCTTTTAGTTCAGGAACAGAGACGTAAACCCGAAAAGGGTTAATTACCCTTTATTGCTCAAAATAAGAGTTTCACAGACGGCCCTTTTCTCCGGGCGTACAGCAAAGCCTCCACTTGGGCTTGAACTCAAAACAATAAGAAATAAGACTTCCCTAATGCTTAACTAAAGAGATAGAGTAAAAGCTATCAAAATTTGAAGTAGTTGGCCCCTAGATATCGAATAAAGTAGCGAAACTATCAAGGGCCATTAAGCATATTTCACAAGTGCACATCAGCGTAGCCACTGAGGGAGGGGTTTCGAAAAGGACCAATGAGCTTCTTTTGTTCTTGTGACGCTAAATCTTCCTGCATGTGAGCGTATGTTGTTTACATTTTAATTTGCATTTGTTTCGCAGTTATAAATGTATGGCGTAAAAGTAGAAAACCTCCTAGTGCTTTCATTTTATGAGTTTAATTAATGGCTGATATTTCACTTTCGCGATTTTTATCACGCATTGATATTCAGATTGGTGTTCATGGCATATTTCGCTCTTTACACCCAGAAAAATGACTCAGCTACAGTTAGCTTCGAATATTATGCATTACTAACAAAATGTGATTAAGAGAATTCAACATTATGAAATAGTTTTTTTGTTTTCATTTTATTGAGCCGAGAAGGACTGGAAGTGAATTACAATGATCTAGGGTTTTTAATTTTTTACTGCTTGCATTCTTTGATTTTGAAAGTGTAATATTCAGAATACATATTGTGTCTGATCTGATTATATCCATTGTTAACATTAAAAGTTATATGTGAATAAATTGAATACATTGTGAATAGATAAATTCATACGAGGTTGTGAATAGATAAATTCATTCTGTTTGATGAGTATTTCTTATGTAGACAATATATTTAAGAATGAGCAGTTATTAAGTGTGAAATTTAATACACTAAATGCAAATTTGTGAATTACGAATGCAAATTAGTGAAGTTCACTTTGAATTAAATTCTGCATTGGCTATTATTATAGAACATCTGTTCATATAGATTGCAATAAAAAGTGCTGATTTCTATTTACATATATAACTGGTGTCAATATTTTTCTCATATGCATAGTGTTATGTAAAGATAGCATTTGGGCTCCGATGTGTATCACATATTTCTTTAGTCTTATTTATCATTTATTAAGTAATATTTCGCATGAATATTTTTTCGGAGTATCCAACACGTGTTTGTATTTAATTTTAAATTCTTTCAATCAGGTAGTGAAATCTTCATAATGGATTATATTTGACCTAACTTCACAATGAAAACTTTCAGAAGAAATAGACTATGTACAGAATTTTGTACAGAAAATTGCGGGCGAAAAATATTTTCAACCATCTTGCTGACATCTTAAAGCTTGCAAAAGGTCATGAGACATAACAGAAATATTACTGGATGATCACTGGTCCATCCTAGAAGCTACTCCCTCGGTGGCTACACAGATGTGCACTTGTGATATATGGCCGAGCGTAGTAACAACTTAGAGAGTCGTAGCCAAATGGCGAACGCGCTCTAGTCGGAAACTCCGAGGCTCTCTCTTGAAGTCAATGAAACTTCGACTTAAATACTACTCTTCCTCATTTGCATTCAACGCGATTCTAAAAACACATTCTGGTAGGAAATTGTAAGCTGAAATTAGGAAGGACAGGATTAGCTTTAACTAAAGATAACTAATTCAGAAGTCAAACAACAAAAATCAGCGTTATATTTTCAAAATTTTCACACGACTAGTTTCGATTGTTTTACCGAACCACCATCCTCAGCTGCAAAACCGCAAATGAACAAGATAGGAAATAATGATTAGATAAGATAAGAAAGCCTGGACAAGAATAAGCAAGTGGCGCCATCTGTTGGTGAAACCAGATCTAAAACATAATTTCTTTAAAAGCAAAGGTGGATTGGAATTAAGATCGTTAACTAGAACAGAAAGATTTGTTTGAATGTGAAATGCCTCTAAAAATTCAATTCTCCAATGGAAGATGCTTTTTGAATAATTTTGGCAGCAGAAAAATTGAAAGTGTGATTTTCGGACCAACAATGTTGAGCAACATAAGACTTCTGTGTTTCCTTTTTTCTAACATATGCCTCATGTTTCTTGACGCGAAGTTTTAAGGCTCTCTTAGTTTGGCCAATGTAAATTAAACTACACTGGCAAGGAATTCTATAAATACCCCCAAGAATTCATATCCGGAATGGGGTTCTTGTGTATGGAACTCGGAAATTTATTGATGGGAGAGTAAACAACCCGAAAGTTTAATTTCTGCAAAATATGTGCAACTTTATAGCTAATTGATGAAAAGAAGGGAATGACAACAGAATTTTTACAATCTCTTAAAACAAGAGTGTGCCTTTTAATGTGTTGAGATGAGAATTTTTTAACTGCTTGATTAATAATGTTGGGTTGTTTGACTTCTGAATTAGTATTTGTTCGGCGTGTTATTGTGTCTTAATTAAAGATAACTTTTCGAACTTAGGATTAACCTTACAAACTAATCTGTTAACTGTTCATTCGACTGTTATACTAACATTCCACTGTTATGTTAACTCTGTCTATTAACTATCAAAGTCCGAAAGCTTTACCAGAGAAATATTTTACCGCTGAGGTCATGAATTGGAGTCATGAAGAGGGAGAACCAGGCTTTATGGAAGGTCCTTCTGAACAGCTCTTTATTGAAAGGGTAATCAGGATACATGACTGCTTGGATGACTATGCCACCGCTGATGATTACCAGAATGGTCATTCGCATGAAATTCACGAAGTCCACCAGCACCTGCGAAAGAACAGTAGCTTTGAAATACAAGGGGATTCAAATATGACATCCACTGTTGCAATTATAAACCACTACCCAAATTAATTGTCTTTGGACGTCCAGATTTTTAGTAAAGATTTTAAACCAAATGAATAAAAAAACCTGGTGTTGGAGGAGAAGGAAGTCACTTTCATCGCACACTGGTTTTATGAAAGATAAAAATCTTTGTGTAGTTTATCAAAGTGATAGCCCGGTAGGCACAAAGAATAGAAAAGACTGAAATTATCCTCATATGTAGCATAGTGTTTTCAAAATCTTCCCTAGATTTGATTTTTGCAAATTGCATAATCCTTCGTCCAAAAAACCTTTAAACAGTGTTTGTAAGACATTACATTTTGAATATTAAAAAAAATTTTATCTAATCACATTTTGAAGTAATAGCCATTTAGTTTAGTGACGGAGGACGTGGGCACCACCCCTTTACCATTATGGTTAATTGGTTTAGCGCCACGTCCACCCTTATCTAAAGCTGACTCATGTTAGAGACACACGAGATCCACTCATAGGGCACATTGATTAGTGTTACAAAACATAGATATTAAAAATGTTACATCTGTGTGAACACAGTACTTATGAACAAAACTTTAGCAAGTCACACATGAGATTACAATTCAATACCCTAGCAAGTAATTTTAGCAAGTTACATATAAAGTTTACAATTCAATACATAAAGAAGATATATCATACATAATGATTATATTATACTGTTGTGATCGATAAGTGACGACATTGTCAACATGAATTTACTAATGCAAAATTCAACATTTAAACTCAGTATACAAAAACCCAAGAACATACAAATGCTTATATTTCATACATTGCCAGCTTAAAAAATTTATAGTGGAGAAGTATAAAAATACTTAGATCTCACATAAGTCTCTAATATTCTGAATGTCATTGTTAACTTTTATTTACAGCTTACTACTAAAGACACAGTTATTATATTAAAATTGGATATTAATACAGTTAAATGAATATTGCACTTAGACTATAAAATACACTATAAAACATTAATTCTTTACAATTTCTAAAATGCAATGATTCAAAACAATGATTTTATGCGAATATTAGAACAATGATTCACTATAAATATACAATGATTCAATACTATTACTACTTAAATTAATGATAATACTATTCATATTATTAATCATATATGCCATGTTGACATCAAAATAAATATTTTTTTTTTCATACAGGTGCTTATTTACTGAACTGATGTTTACATATTACCAGCAAGCAATTCAAAAATAGATATGTACATACAATTTACTTGCACATTGGAAATACTATACAAATAAATAATTCAATACAATGATTCCGTACGATTACTCATGAATAATTCAATATTATGATTCTATACGATTATTCAAATGCAATGATTCAATACATTTGAATATATTGAATCATTGCATTTGGAGAACATACACTTACTGCAGTATTCCTGACATTCCTGTAAGTAGTGATAGAATGCACTTTTGTGTGGTATAGACCAGTGATGGCGAACCTATGACACACGTGCCACATTCGGCACGCAGAGCCTCATCAGCCGGCATGCGACTAAAATATTCTTTCCTTAATCAATAATCACAATAAAATAATACTATGTAATTTAAATAACATTTGAATTGCTTACATTTTTTACTACCTGTATATAAAATTTTGCACTTGTGGAACTAATATGTATAGAGATATGTGCATTTCAAACTTGGAGTAGACGTTAGGCTTAACATGGAGGCCGTTTGTTGATATTTGAATACTAAGTGTTTGCACCATGCACTTCTAGTTTTTCTGCCAACTGAATAAAAATTTAATTTTTCATTTATATTACCAGAAGGAACTGCTCGATATCTTTGTGCACCTTTTGAGTTTGCTTTTGGACCCGTTGGTCGAGTTGTAGGGTTTTGCGAAGAGCTGTTGCATTTTGATTCCTAGAATTGCTTTACATGATTTTAATGAGATTTCAAGTGTTTAGCTCCCTGGTTCGTTTGAAATTAGGTATTTATTTATTTTTTTGGGGGGAAGCAGGAGGAGTGAAAAATGAGCAACGCCTTCGTCAGGAATCAAACCAGGGACCTCTGGAATACGCGCCCAGGATGCAGACCACCACACCACAAAGGTATGCTAAGAATGCGGGAGAAATACCTTACATACTCCCCTTTTTAAAGGGCGACTGGAGTTTATAGGGTACCCAATCGCCAAATCTTGGGTGTAGAGAATCATCATCCACCATTCATTTTTAGTTCGAGCGCCACTGTAGAGACATTAGCCCCCCCTGGGGGTTGACTCAGGCGAACGCCTGGGAAGTACTGTTTAGGATCTGTGCCTAGGAAGTTTCAACCACGATGACACAATAACAGACTTCACAGAAGGCCTGAGGGCTCTCGGAACAGAGTAAGGCTCGGCATGGACCGTACTGGTACTGTCTTGTCTGGGGTCGCAACATTGTGGATTGATCAAGGGCGGGCTGCATTAGGACGGAAGCTGTCCTTCTCCATCAGCGTTGTAGAGACATTAGGTATTTTTTTTTTTTTGGAAGCAGGAGAAGGAAAAAACGAGCAACACCTTTGCCGGGAATCGAACCACTATGGAATACGCGCCTAGCTCGCAGACCACCACACCCCGAAGGCATGCTAAGAAGGCGGGAGAAATACCTTTTATAGAACAATAGTACAGGGATTTCAAAATCTAATATCTAACTGCTTTCATTGCACTTCATCATTTCTTGCATTTCATCTACCTGCTTCAACAGTAACTTTTATAATAAAGCCGTCACCAACGAGGATGTCAATTACTCCAACAGCTTTAGGTATGAACTTCTTGAAACTGACGTAAATTTACGTCCATATACTACGCACTGTTTTAAAAAATCCCACTTAACATATCTATTTATAATACTGACGTCTGGTTCCTGCACAGTACTGTAGCATTTTTACCTCGCAGTCACGATTTAATTCATCGTCCACGCTCATGCAGTCTCACAACACGCTGGCCAGGGACATTCCTCTTTTATCCCTTCAATCCCCTGCTAAAGGTCTTTTCTGTGACGTAAAGTATGTGAAGTCTCTCCAAGCCGGGGGTATTTTAGTGGACCAATCGCCAAATCCTGGTGTGGAGAATCACCATCTACCACCCTTTTAGTTCGGGCGCCACTGTAGTGATATTAGGAATTTTTGAGGAAAGAAAGATGAAAAATGAGGCGACGCCCTCGCCGGGAATCGAACCACGGACCTCTGGAATATGTCTCTGCACTTCTGGAATTCTAAGAAGGCGGGAGAAATATCTTATAAGGTATGGAACATATTAATAAAGCAAGGTTATATACAATGCAGCAAAGTAAAAGGCATTTGAAATTAGAAATTAGAAAATATTATTACATGTTATAAAAATGACATTAATAGTTTCGCTAAATGATAGTTTCGCTAAATATACGAATAGTTTCGCTAAATGATATAGCTGTTGGCTTCAGAATAAATTACAGGCACTGAATTTATCTTGAACTGTAACTCATCGTAAATAAAATCTTGAAGATTATAAACCTTAATCATTAAACCCACCAGCGTTATCAAATTACTGTTTGGTTTTAATTCCGTTATAATAATTTATACATTTAATTATTTTAAATACTTTACCAACGTTAAATTTTATATTTCTGAAACAATAACTTCAAGCAGAAGCTTTTAAATAAACCTTTTGTTATGGTACACTGGTTATCATAAATTAAGGAAAAATCACAAAAATAGCGATACTCGCTCAAAAATAAGCCAACCGTTAAAATTTAATATTTGCCAGTAAGAGTAGCTGAGTAAACTGGAATAAAATTAGTGGCGCTGCACTCGGAATAAGTCATCTGCGAGGTATAATAAATCCATGGGGCAAGCCCACATATTTCACTTTGTGACATAGAAATCTGACATAGCCAATTCTTACAATGACCTCCGGCATCCTGCAGAACTACGGAGAGCCATGGAGACTAGAGGCAGGATAAGTCAACAGAAGTGGCCAGATGGCTAAATGGGAGTCTTTCTGTGGTTCATACTTTGAAGGCGATTTCACCACAGATTCGCACCTAGGAGTTTCAGCCAGGACGGCCAACTGCTACACGAGCGCCGATGACCGATATTTGACATTAGTACACCGGAATAGAACCGCTACTACTCCGACTCTTCTTAGATTCTTTCTTGCTGGCCACCGAAGGTTGGTGTCAACTCACTGTGCGTCATGCTTCACGAAGATGGTATGTATACGAACACCAGCCATTTTCGTGCCGCTCACGTCACGCCAGGAGTGACCGTCTGCAGTAGGCACGACAACATGTGTCTACTGGACGCCTGATCAGTGGAGGGGCTGTTCTCTTTTTACGGATGAGTCCAGGTTTAGTCTAGAAGCGATAGTATCTTATTTGATATGGAGAGAACCTGGAATCCGTTATCATCCGTCAAACATCCGTTAAGAGATGCATACTGAAGAGGCAGTCTGTGTTTGGGTGGCATCTCTTTGGGTGGAAGCACAGACCTACATGTCTTCCAACGGAACCATGAATGCTCCGGTTATAGAGATGACATCCTTGATGCTTATGTGCGCCCATGTGCCGGGGCAATAGGTGATGCTTCCTTTACAGGACGATAACGCAAGAGCACCAGGGCTCGCATCGTAGATGATTATCTTCAACAGGAAACAATTTGCGCATGGAGTGGCCAGCTCGATTCCCACTTGAATCCTATCGATCACGTTTGGGATGATTTAGAGAGACGTCTCTGCCCCCTCAGATCCTTGCCGCGCTTGCAACAGCTTTGGCAAGAGCAATGGCTCTCGCTTCCTTGGAACGTGGACCGCATAATTGAAAGCAGGACGCATCACTGTATAGCTGTATTGCTTATAGAGGACCATATTCCCTATTGAATGTACTTTTCCTATAGCAAACTGACACCCTTCGATTTGTTCATTTTACACTGTGCTAATTTCTATACTACCATAATTGCTGGTAATTTATTGTATGTTATTTATACTTACTATGTTTGTATATTGTGGGTAAGTTTTATAAAATTCTACATGTAACTTTTTCAGTAATCGTGATTTTTGTGATTTTTCGTTAATTTATGATAAGCAATATATCTCATTTCTTGTTGACTTAAAAGTTTGTACTATTTATCATACAACAGCTCTATTTGAAGTTGCTCGGGCTCGTCCTGGAAGCCAGAAGCTAAGATTTCAACTAGCTAATTTACGTGAAACTTTTCAAAGTGCAATAATATGCGTTTGGATACTTACCATAAGTTTCACTCTATATAAAAGAGGGCCTAAAGTAGGCGATATCGGCAGGTAGATAGCTATGATCCTGTAGTAAAAATAAAGCAGGCCTAAGCATAAGATGACACGCATCGAATACGGGTCAATGAGATCAAAGTAGATGATTCTTCCCATCAGGTACAAAATAACAAACATGAACATAATGCCGATTTCCAGTACTTTGAGTACGAATGCCTTGGCTTTGTATTTCTGAAACGAAACGAAATATGTTATTAATTAATGTATTTTATTTTTAAATGCACAACAAATTAACAAAGAAAATTTCCCTTTTAGTTTTCACGCATGTTATCGCAACAGACATAATCGGCATTTGAAATTTTAAAAATATCTGTAACAAAAACTTAACAAAAAAAGCAAAATTAATTAAGAATTTAAGCCTGTTAGGTATACAAAATAAAAGAAATATTGCAAATTTCTTTGATCAATTTGCCCACCAGCGGCCGAGCGGTAAAGTCGCTAAACACTGGTAGTTCGGTCCGAGGTTCGACTCCCGCGAACGGGCTAGCTGCATGGGTGTTTTCGTGGTTTTCCCCATGTGTAACGTGTATACGAGCCAGTTTCCCTTAGAAAATCCTCCACGAAGGCAACCTTACCCTTAGGCAGATAGCCCTACTGTGCTTTGCCATAATTAAATACACCAACACCACACCTCACCTTTGATCAATTACGCTGCTTAAAGTGTTTGCCATTATTACCGAAAATTATTTAGTGTATTTTAATTTCTAACTATTGATATCATTCTGTTTTAAACGATATCAAGTTTCTCGATTTAGACAAACTCCCAGAATTAAAAAAGAGTAATTGATAATGTAAATAGTCAATTTAAAATTTGATAATTAATATTATTAGAGAAACATTTATACGTGATATAATCCTTTTCTTTGCACTTCTCTTTGCTTAATAGACCACTTCACAAAGTATATTCTCCCTCCTTTCTGCATGCCTTCGTGGTGTTATAAGGTACTTCTCCCACTTCCCTAGCGTGCTTCGTCGTGTAGTGGTTCTGCACACTGGGCCGGTATTCCAGAGGTCCGTAATTCGATTCCCGGCGGAGACGGTTGCATATTTTTCATCTTTTCTGCTTCCAATTAACCTAATGACTCTACAAGTGGAGCCCGAACTAAAAGGGTTGTGGATGATGATTCTCCGCACCCAGGAGTTGGCGACTAGTCCCCTAAAACCCTAGTCGTCCTTTAAAAAGGGGAGTATATAAGGTATTTCTCCCACTTCCCTAGCGTGCCTTCGTGGTGTAACGGTCGGACGCTGGGCCGGTATTCCAGAGGTCCGTGGTTCCCACTTGTAGAGTCATTAGGTTAATTGGAAGCAGAAAAGATGAAAAATATGCAACTGCCTTCGCCGGGAATCGAACCACGGACCTCTGGAATACCGGCCCAGTGTGCAGAACCACTACACCACGAAGGACGCTAGGGAAGTGGGAGAAATACCTTATATACTCCCCTTTTTTAAGGGCAACTAGGGTTTTAGCGGACCTAGTCGCTAAATCCTGGGTGTGGAGAATCATCATCCACAACCCTTTTAGTTCGGGCGCGTAGAATCATTAGGATATTTTTTGGAGGCCGGAGAGATGAAAAATTAACAACGCCTTTGCCGGGAATCGAACCAAGGACCTCTGGAATACCAGCCCAGCGTGCTACCGTTACATCACGAAGGCACGCTAGTAAAGTGGGAGAAATACCTTATAGTGTAACGGTGGCACACTCGGCACGTATTCGAGAGATCCAGGTTCGAGTCCCGACGAGGGCATTACTCATGTTACCCGTATAAAAGAATCCTAATGACTTTGCAACTTATCATTTGCTTTGTTTATTATTTTTTTCTTATATAGGCTTTTCATAATTAATATCATACTGCAGTTGTTTGCATGTATATTAAAGTAATTATAATTCAAAAAACAAAAGCATGGAAAACATTTTCTTTAAATATTTTTTTTTTCCAAATTCTGAGTTTGTATTATTTTCGGCTAGCGCATAGATTATTTAATTTGAGAGATAAACTACAGTCGAATATCGAGTGTCATTTTAAGCTCTGACCATAAGGCAATTCATCCAGAATTTTTCCAGTTTCCAAACTACAGAGGTTAGTCGCACATTTTTTAGACGATTTTGGTAAGCGGTAATAAAAAATCGTTTGCTGCAAAAGAAGTAATTGCAATTGCACTATGTTTTTAAAAGTCAAAATTATCGTCTGTGGCTTGAAAGTTTTTGTTTTTATTCAAAATGGCGAATTTAATAAAGCAGTGGTTCGAAGGCTACATTTACGCTCTTTCCGAAGAGAAATATGCATACTCCGTTATCCAAAAACGATGTGAGAGTCATGCTTTTGTGATATCTAAAGCGTCGATAGGTAATATCATCAACAAGAAAGGAAAAAAAAAACGTCAAATTGGAGCCTCAAGTGGGACAAAATTCCAAACAAGTATCCAAGGAAAAAACGGACATCTTCGACTATTGCAAAGGTACGTTTGTTTCATGTTAAAAGAAAATCCCCCTAGTCAAAGGACAGTTGCAAAATCATTAAATGCTCGGTGTCCACTGTAAACAAAATGATAAACGTTGATTTAAATCTTAAAGAAAGCGAAAAAACGCAATGTGCATCGTCTTCTTCCAAAGCATATCGCTCAACGCAGGGCACGCTGCAGAATTTTATATGAGAAACACTTATCCAAAGAAGAATGGAAAACAGTTGTCACAATAGGTGAAGCATGGGTGTATTTAAATGATTGTAATAAAAAAAAGAGCGATTTATTATCATAAAAGGGGAGAAAAGAAATTAAGTACATGGTTCAAAGAATCGAAGAAAGTTTTTCTAAGGGATTCATGATTGTTGCTGGTGTTTTTCTTATAATGACAAGTTAAAATAAAGAGAGTGCAAAAAAATGTCAAATTAACTCCAAATCTATCAGGAACATTTTAATCGCCAATTTTTCTGAATGAAATATCATCGCTTTTACCCACAGTGCCATCCATCTGTGAGATTCCATCAGGACAAAGCTAGCAGTCACACATCAAAATCCACTGTAAATTTCCTGAAAGAAATGGAACAAAAAAACTGGTATTAAGACTGATATCCCTACTAAATCTCCCGATGTGTCACCTATGCATTTTTGTGCTTTCGGACTTTTAAAAACAGCATTTTCCAAACGTTGTCCCAAAACCCTAACAGGACTCTGGAAAGTTGTTCGGGAGGAATGGGATAGAATACTTCTTCTGCCACTTCTGCCACTTCTTCTTCCACTTATCCTGGAAATTGCGGTGTCGAAAGATAGTTCAGAATAAGGGATGTCAAATAGAAAATTTAAAACACAAGAATTTTATGTAGTTTAGTTTTGTGAATACAATATACATCGTCTAAAAAATGTGTGAACAGCCTCTGTAATAACAATACACATCTTTCACTTGCCTAATGTATTTTCATTTGATACAAACATAAAGAAATACATTTATTTCATTTTAGACGAAACAACAGAACTGTTCGTCTCAGGCTCTAATTTCTATAGCCTCATTACTTGAAACTGTTGCCTTCAATGCCAAATGAATTGGTAAGAATCAGAGTGACAGTTAAAGTTAATAATGTTCGCATAACATTCAGCGAAGGACAGAAGTAATGAGAAATATATATATATATATTTCATAGTTTTCAGTGAACTGCTAAATTACCGAAAAATCAAGAAAGAAAACTGAGGATTAAAAGACTGAAAATGAGCAGAAAATTCATGTTAGGTATGGCAGTTAGTAGAATTTTAAATTTATTTATTTAATTTTTAAATGTCATTATTTAATTAATTTCTCTTATACAGTGGGATCAGTAGTAATCTCTTTTTAGTTGGATTATTAGTACGATAATTTATTTAAAACTATATAAGGTATTTTCTCCCTCCTTTTTGCATGCCTTCCTGGTGTAATGGTTAGCACACTCGGCACGGATTCGAGCGGTACAGGTTCGCGAGTCCCGACGAGGGCATTACTCATTTGTCACGTCTCCAGCATCAAAATAACATAATAAATCTACAGTGGCGCCCGAACTAAAAATTGGTGGATGATGATTCTTCACCACCAGGATTTGACGCTTGGGTCCCCTAATCCCCAGTTGCCCTTTAAAAGGGGGAGTATATAAGGTATTTTCTCTCTACTTTCTACATGCCTTCTTGGTGTAACAGTCGCACATTCGGCGTGTATTCGAGAGGTCCAGGTTCGAATCCCGGCAAGGACATTGCACGTTTTTCATGTCTTCTGCATAAAAAAAAAAAAAAAAAAAAAAAAAACTAATGACCCTACAGTGGCGCCCGAATAAAAAGCGGTGGAGGAAGATTCTTTATCCCCAGGATTTGGCGACTGTGTCCCCTAATCCCCAGTCGTCTTTTAAAAAAGGTATTTTCTTCCCCGTTTCTGCATGCCTTCGTGGTGTAACGGTCATTTACATTATGCTCATTTTTCATGTCTCCTACTTCCAAATAACCTAAAGACCCTACAATTGTTAAAATATGAAAACGCATATTTGAGGTGTTATCACCACGCAATGGTAGGTAGGTGGTAAGGAGTAGGTGGTTTATTTTTTTCCACAATATTTTCAACGATGATGTTTTAAAAACTGCGAGATTTTTTTTAACCGCTTTATTTTCTATGATTATGTTTGGTACAACTCTGATACACGCCCTAATTTCATCGAATGTGGCGATATGTGTTCTGCGCTGGTTTTTGGCGCGATTGCGTGTTGTATGGCAACCCTGTTGACGTTGAAAAATCTTTTGCTGGAGTGGTTTAATCGCTCGTTGGTTCCCGTCATGCTTTGTGTCTGAGAAGCTAGGGTGGAAAGATTTAATGGTGAAAATTGTTGAATTGAAGTTCGGCATAAGGAAATATCGTCGTGGCCTTGCTGTTGAGGGGCAATGGCTATTTGGAGGTGTGGAAAGAAGGTATGAGAGATTATTTTTAGTGGCTGTGCGTGATAGAAGTAGGGATTTGTATTTATTTGTTATTTTATTTATTTGTGAACCATGGTATGAATTTTCTGGATAGTGTATCTGGCTGTCATATAAATACGATAGTGATTACGTGGCGGTATAAAATTGGTATTTCTGTCGTTCGAAAAAGCATTAATGCTAAGTGCATTTTATTTTATTCTTGTTCTTATTTTGTAGAATGTTATGTTCATTGTTTTTTTAGTAAGAATTTCTGTCGTTATTGTTGTTTTTTTGAATTGTTTGAAATTTATTTTAGTTATTTTGTTGATTAGTGCGTACCGTCTAAATTGTGCAATTCGTAGATGTTTTTTAAAGTTGAAACTGAACGCTGTGTACATGGTATTCTTTGAAATTTATTGTTGTTATATTAATTTATTAAAGCGAGGTGTGCGTAGTTCCTAAATTCGTTCGTTGCCTAGATGGGGCCATTCGTCGATGTTTTTTTAAGTTAAAACATATCGCTGTGTACATGGACTCTTGTCAAATAATTTTGGTTAGAAACTTCATGGTTTTGCTATCTAAATTTTTTGTTTTTGTTTTCGGATTTTTTAGCTTAAATTGTGTGTTCAAAACTGGTTGGTTTTTGCATTCGCGTAAACAGTGTTTTGGAGACATTTTAGGCTTAAAGTTCGAAATGTAGACAAAAAATTTAGATAGCAATATGGCAGCGTGGAGTTTCTCGCCAAAAATATTTGGCGAGAAATTTGGCGCCTTGAGGGCGCATATCAGAGTAGTTCCTTATGTTTCACACCCGATTTTTTTTCGCTTCAATTGTTTCCTCCGCAAGATTTTACTCACCTTTCTCATACGTACTGCAGGATGGACAGATTCCAGAGCAATTAATGAGGTCCAGCTACAGACTATGATGTCCAAGACTTGATTTCCGCACGAAGGCCACATCACTGCGAGGCTGAACAAAGCCAGGTACACCACATAGAACAACTAGTAACATACAGATTGTTAATCAAAATCTTATTTATGGAAACGTTTTACAAATTAGTATATCTACAAGTTAGCTATTACGTGATAATGAAATTTTCACCTTAGTGTAACGTCAGGAAATTTCCCCTTCTTATACATATTCTGTCACTATTCGATTCAGCAGATATAAAACTAATAGTTTTAATTACAAATTTATTGTTATTTTGGTATTTCCCTATTATAGCAGCCCCAAAATTTAATCGCCAATCACTCGAGATGTAACATGTAGCAAAGAATGATTGATAGGGATTTAATCTTGAGGGCTGTCGTAATAAGGAAGTACCATTATTTTTTACTTATTGATAATAATTAATTCTAACTAACTGTTTTTCACTATTTAATTACTTGAGTTAAAATAAATGTCACACAGCTGAACACTTCTTGATAAACTGATTCCTTCCCTCCATTCAGTTCCAGCTTTGGCCCCCTCGCAGCCAAGCGGTAAAGTCGCTGAACACTGGTAGTTCGGTCCGAGGTTCGAATCCCACGAACGGGCTAGCTGTATGGGCGTTTTCGTGGTTTTCCCCATGTGTAACGTGTATACGAGTCAGGTTTCCTTAGAAAGTCCTCCATGAAGGCATACCTTCCCTTAGGCAGATAGCTCTAGTGTGTTTTGCCATGATTAAATAAACCAAACCAAAACCAATCAATTCCAGCTTATCAAAATTTTAAAAAAAAATGATGAACCACCAATTATTCACCATTTAGTTTCCATTCGATTTTATTTCATACTTTGAATTTCAAAACAAAAATTTTTCTTGTTATAAAAAGTATTTCATTACTTGCCAAAAAAATAGCTAGACTATAAGATTTAATATAATAATTGTCAGACACTGCTTATAAATGAATATTTTACAAAAATTGTTATGGTTTCTATAGTGATAGCCTTCTTGCAGATTTTTATATATTTTATACGAAACAGGAAATTTTTATTTGTTGGAATCAGCCGAGTTTCTGATCTGCTCCTTGTCTTTCATATACGTTTTGATTACATTCAGAAAGTTATAAGGTGTTTTCTCCCTCCTTCCAGCATGCCTTCGTGGTGTAACGGTGAGCACACTCGGCATGCATTCCAGCGGTCCAGGTTCGAGTCCAGGCGAGAGCATTGCTCATTTTTCTCTCCTGGTTAAAAAAAAAATCTAATGACAATACAATGGCGCCCGAACAGGAAAGTGGTAGATGACGATTCTTACCACCAGGATTCGTCGACTGGCTTCCCTGATCCCCATTCTTCGTTTAAAAGGGGAATATGTCAAATATTTTCTCCCTCCTTCTAGCATGTCTTCGTGGTGCAACGGTGAGCACACTCGGCGCATATTCGAGAGGTCCAGGTTCGATTACCGGCGAAGACGTTGCTCATTTTTCAAGTATCCACCATAAAAATAACTTAATGTTGCTACAAAGTATTTCTTTCGGATAAAAACTTTGAAGCATCTGCAAACAAATTTAGGTGCTACTTTGGTAGACGGTTGAACGGATTTTTGGCGATTTACATTGGCGCAATCGTTGGCGCGGTTTTTATAATCGTCAGCCATCTTGAAAAATGCTGTTTTTACTTATTTTACGCATAGTAAAGTATTCGAAACTTTCAAAAAATAAATATCGTTAAAAAATAACGGATTAATTTTTTGTTGAAAACGCTGTTTTTTAAGATGGCTAGCAAATGTAAATAAATACATTTACTAAGAGTATAAAATGCTAAAGTAAGGTTAAATTATTACTTTCATATAATAGAATAAAAACACCGCTAAAAAACATTGCGCCAAAATTTAATTGGATTAAAATATTACTTAAATTGAAGATCGAATTAAAAACATCATACCAATGTTTAAGAGAATTAAAATATAGTTAAATTCAAATACTTTAAAATACGTTTTATAGGATATAGTTATTTAACATTAAAACATATGTGGCAATAAATATCTTAGAATTTTTGAAAACAATGTATTAATTGTTTAGTAAAAATTGAATATACAATATAAGTAAAATAAATATGTACTTACATTTTTTTAAGTATTTACTGTCGTATTTTGAAAGTACAAAAAAAAAAAAATCTTCATCTCGCATCCATCTCTCCGACTTCATTGAAGAAGCATTAGAGAGGTTTCAGTTCAATGTTTCTTCTAACCTTCTTCGGAAACATACAATGACCTGACTAGAACAGAGAGCTTACTAAAGCTATGTTCACTAATTGTAGTAAGTAGACAGGATACAGACGAAGGGTATACAAAACCCTTTATTTTTTTTCTTTATATACAATGACTTCCGTACTTCGGAATACAATGACCCTCCACTCGGGGTCTAACTTAAAAGATATCAAAATAAAACTAAACTCTAATTTAACTTTAGAATAAGATTGGCCTTATAATAACAGGAAGCGTATGTAGCACAGAGACTGTGAACACTACAATACGTTTAATTTATCAAGAGGATTAAAACCTCTGGCCTGGAAGGCAAAGTAGCAACTGCGTAACTTCTAAGGTAAGCGGCCTGCTTCGAACTCACGGCTTCCTCTCTTCTGCTTGGCAAAAAGGCCACACTTAAATACTTGGCGTTCGCCAGACAACTTTGCATAAACTCCTTCACGCTTATAATTCTGGCCGGAAGTAGAAAATAAGAAGTGATAGTAAAGATTTAAAAAAATAAAATAAACGTTAGTAAAACTTAAGATCCTTACATACTTACTTCCCGCCAGAGTTAATTAGTTTTGAAACTGAGGTCTAAAACGACCTTGTTGAAAACTTTTAGCTCTAGAAACTAACGCGAGGCCAACCTTTTACAATCATAACTTAGCTAGAAACTAGAAAATTTTAAAAGAAAGAAATTTGTTACAATAGCAGCTCCCGGAATATACAACAATCTTTTTTCTTTTTCATCTGTACTGCATCTAAACAGGAGCTTTATTCAATTCTGGTTCCTTCCAGAGATCTGGAAGGAAAACTAGTTTAATGAAATGTTACAGAATGACATTGGCAAATAACATATAGAATATACTTTTCTTAACATTCTTATTTCATTCATGACTATTTTAATTATCTCTCCCCGTGCTCTCTGACATGTGTTGTAAAAACACCAAACACGAATGTGTTTCTGTCTATGTGTTCAACACTTCCTCCTACAATCAAAACACTAACGTGTTAAAATTCAACATACGAGACCTCTTAACACACCCTAATTTCAACTCTAGACCCTGAGGTACTATTCTGAAAGTGGCTAACTCTAAAGTGTAGCGTCAGAGAGCCTAACTACATCATTCAACCTTTAACACATATTCACCATGATTTAATCTTTACAGTCACACGAATAACAAATTTTAAACATTACTTTCACTTTTACCATATCACGGTATTTCTAAACATTCAAAATAACAGTTCACATGTATACAAGAACATATCAACATGCCGTTAATTTTACACATTTGAAAACATACATTAGTAGTACATTGTTAACTTCTATTCTTTTCAAAGCAAGTGCCAATTCTTTCTACATTGAAATAATACTACATTTCAAAAAGTCTTTCAGACTAAAACTTCTTTCTTCTTGTTAGAATGTTTTAAATAAAATTTATACAATAACTTTTTACAATATTTAAGTCTTTACACAACGCTATTATACATCAACTTTAGTTTTACGCGCGAGTAATTGAAAAACATAATAAGAAAATCGGTCACAACTCATTTCTCGCCCTTTTGGCGATAAAGGTAGACCTCGCATGAGGTAAAACTTCTTGAAATCTGCCACTTGCCACTTGCAGTAAGAATGAAAGATTAACTTAAGTTTGTAAAGTAACATAAAATTTTACTTATCTTTGTAATATTCAGGACATCCTTTTCTGGGCCCAGTCTTTAAAGGTGCTGCAGACCGTAGCTTGGTTGATCCTCCTTCTTCTTGTACGGGCTCGCCCTTCAGTGCTTTCCTCTGGAAGCTTCCGTTTTTCACCACTACGTACGGCCACCCTTGAACATCTTCCTTTGTCGCTCTGCTTGTGGTCTTGGCCGTTTGAAGGCAGCTGGTCTTGGTGGAACCGGGAAACTTCTGTCGTGATCCTGCTTGGACCTCGTTGTTGGCCGTTCAAATTTTTCTTGTACTTTTTCCTCCGCCGCTGATGGCCCTTCCGCAGTTCGGCGACTTTTGCTGCGGAGAGTTCTGTCGGATGAGTCAATCTTCCGTTTCACAGCCGGGTTATAGTTGCCGTCCTTTCTCCCGGTCTTTTCCACATACGTCGTCCTTCTCCCTTCTTCATTCTGGGGTGTTTCGTGAACTCTGTTTTTTGGACGGTGGAACGGCTTCTTTTTCTTTTTACTTACCTTCAATTTTTCCCCGCGGGGCAATTTTCTTTTCACTTGCTTCTGCTGTCTCTCATTGGCTTGCCCTTGTACTTGTCGTTTTCCCACCTCTGGAACTTGTACCTGCGGTGTCTGCCGTGCCGGATCCTGCAAAAGATCTGAAAAGATTTGCATTTTATTACGATCGATAGTAGGGTTGATTTTGATCAATGTTTGCGGAACAGGTTTCACACCATTTCTTGCCTTTTAACACTACAACAGCGTGAGTTATTTTTTCTATAACATATGGTCCTTCAAAGCGTGGAAAAAATTTGGCAGTTTTATCTTCTTCTGGTGCTGAAGAAAGTGAATGCTTAATTTTTAGTACTTCATCCCCTACTTTATAAGTTACTCCCCGTCGTTTCAAGTCATAATACATTTTTGTTTTCTTTGTTCTTTGTGCTACTTCCGTATTCTTTTTTGCTTCTTTTAATTAGTTTTTCTATATCACCCATTTTAAATTCTGGGGCTCTTTGTTGCACATAAAATAATTTATCTAACGGTGTTATAATCTTTCTTTCTGCCTAGAAATAACTCAGCAGGAGTTTTGCCCGTTGTATCATGTTTTGCGGTCCTAAGGGCGAAAGCAAATTCATTGACATAGTTATCCCAGCTTTTATGAAAATTTTTAACATA